TATATTGTTTTAATGAATGATTGTTGTTGGGTTTGTATGCGCAGCGAGTTAAGGAAGTGACGGTTCCCCATTTCTTAAATCACCAGAACAATAAGAAGTTCACTGCAGAAGGCTTATCTGCTCTTACACATAATGAACTTCGTCTTCAATCCAAAGAATGGATAAAGCGCACAGCAGAAGGATGCTCAGAAAATGCAGTTCTTATTTCTACCGTCGCATTTGCGGCTGCATACACAGTACCAGGGGGTTCAGATGAGAAAACTGGTTTTCCAATCCTCATCAATCACCCTTTCTTTGTGGTTTTCACCATATCTGACGTTTGCGCTCTCACATTATCTTTGGCATCTGTGGTTACATTTCTGTCAATCCTCGCATCGCCATTCAGATTCCAAGATTTCAAGCACTCACTTCCCAATAAACTGACGCTAGGCTTCACATTTATGTTCCTGTCTGTGACCATGATGATGGTAGCATTTGTAGCAACAGTCATGCTCATGATAAAAAATAAGGAAAGTTGGGCCAAAGTTGCGCTATACACCTTCTCTTTTATCCCAATTGGAATCTTTGCACTATCATATTTTCCTCATTATATAACAACAGCAACATCAAGAGCTTGCAAATACTTGCACGAGAAGACAAAGCAGTTGATTCCTCGAAATATTTTGGTTCCACTGAAGAAGATCTGTTGCCTGTCCAACCGTCCCAAACCCGGAGATACCACCTCTTTCATTCCATGATTTCCTCTAGCAATGCTGCTAGCTACAACATAAGCTTGAAATTTCTTTATCATTTGCATGGATATCGTGTCCCTTAACATAATATATTCCCGCTGTTGGTTGAAATAAATGCTTAGATTTATTTTATTAAGTTATATTCGTGTATGTTATGTAAGAAATAAAATAATTGAATTATTCATATAATAAGGCTTTGTATGTATGAAGTATATATGACCTTACAAAGGCGGCGATGAAGATAGAAGAGAAAGAGGAGTTCTATATTCACTCTTTTATTTATTTTTTCAGGTATTAATTTATATAAAAATGTTTATAAAATTTGTGTGTTCTTTATATGAACTTCGCAGTTTATTAACTTATTTTGTATGGATAATACTATACAAAATTTTTTTTAACTTTTTTTAATCACATCTTTTTATACAGAGATTTTTATCAAATTTCTTTATAAATATACTATTATTGTTTTGTATGTGGCCTTCGTTGATATATTTATGGTAAATTCTTGAAGTTGAAACCAGAAGTTAGCAGAGTCGATGCGTCCTCCTCCTGAAAGTCGGTTTTTCTTTGAAGAAATAATCAAATACACTCAACAGAAGAGCCTCCCAGAAGGCCGGGCATTACAAGCTCAAATTATCAAAGCTGGTAAATCTTCATGCACATATCTTGCAAATAGTCTCGTCCATTTTTACGTTAAGTGCGGTCAGTTAACTAAAGCCAAGCTCGTATTCCAAGGCATACAAAACAAAGACGTTGTCTCATGGAACTGTCTCATCAACGGCTACTGTCAACAGGGTTCCGCCGGATCCTCCTCCGTGATGGAAATTTTTCAAAGCATGAGATCAGAGAACGCCTTCCCAAATGCCCACACTTTCACTGGTGTTTTCACAGCCGCGTCGTATGTATCCGATATTTTTGGTGGTCAGCAAGCTCACGCGCTTGCTATCAAAACCTCTAGTTTTTACGATGTTTTTGTGGGGAGTTCTCTTATGAGTATGTATTGCAAAGCTGGTCTTGTAGTGGAAGCTCGCAAGATGTTTGATAGAATGCCGGAAAGAAATTCCATTTCGTCGACTACAATGATTTCTGGGTATGCAATGCAACGGATGGCGATGGAGGCTTTGGGGCTTTTTAAATTGATGCGTACAGAAGATGAGAATGAGAATGAGTATGTGTTTACAAGCATTCTAAGCGCTTTGGCTGCTCCAGAGTTTGTTGATAGCGGAAAGCAAATACATTGTCTCGCTTTAAAAAATGGGTTGTTAGCGATTGTTTCTGTTGCCAACGCCCTTGTGACTATGTATGCAAAATGTAGGAGCTTGGATGATTCACTGAGGACGTTTGAATTGTTAGGTGATAAGAATTCTATCACGTGGTCGGCGATGATCACTGGTTATGCTCAGAGTGGGCATTCTGATAAGGCCTTGAAGTTGTTTTCTAATATGCATTTGAATGAAATGAAGCCTAGTGAGTTTACCCTTGTTGGGGTTCTTAATGCTTGTAGTGACATTGCTGCTCTTGAAGAAGGAAAGCAAGTGCATGATTATTTGTTAAAGTTGGGATTGGACTCTCAAATATATATTCTCACTGCTTTGGTTGATATGTATGCAAAATGTGGTAGCATTGTTGATGCTCGGAAGGGGTTTGATTATTTACAAGTACCAGATATGGTTCTGTGGACTTCAATGATTGGAGGTTATGTACAAAACGGGGAAAGTGAAGAGGCTCTAAGTATGTATGCTAGGATGCAAGCTCTAGGGATTTTTCCTAATGAACTAACTATGGCCAGTGTCCTGAAAGCGTGTTCAAACCTTGCTGCTTTGGACCAAGGAAAGCAAGTTCATGCCCGTACTGTCAAGTATGGATTTAGTTTAGAAATTTCAATTGGAAGTGCTCTTTCAACCATGTATTCAAAGTGTGGGAGTTTGGAAGATGGGAACCTTGTCTTTAGGAGGATGCCTGTTAGGGATATTGTGTCATGGAATGCAATGATATCCGGGCTTTCCCAAAACGGACATGGTAATGAAGCTTTGGAACTTTTTGAGGAGATGCTAGTGGAAGGCGCAAAGCCAGACTATGTAACATTTGTGAACATTCTCTCAGCTTGTAGCCACATGGGATTGGTAGAGAGAGGTCGGTTTTATTTCAAGATGATGTCCAATAATTTCGGCATTGTTCCAAGAGTTGAGCATTATGCTTGCATGGTTGATATTCTGAGCCGTGCTGGAAAGCTCAATGAAGCTAAAGAATTTATTGAATCAGCTTCCATAGATCATGGTATTTGTTTATGGCGTAATTTATTGAGTGCTTGTCGAAACTATCGTAATTTCGATTTAGGTGCCTATGCTGGAGAGAAGCTAATGGAGTTGGGGTCACAAGAATCATCTGTTTATGTGATATTGTCAAGCATTTATACTTCCTTAGGGAAGTTGGAAGATGTGGAACGGGTGATGAGGATGATGAAACTTCGAGGTGTGAGTAAGGAGCCTGGGTGTAGCTGGATTGAAATTAAGAGTCAGGTCCATGTGTTTGTTGTTGGAGATCAAATGCATCCGAAGATTGGAGATATACGTGCGCAGATCCGAAGGTTAAGCAAACAAATGAAGGATGAACGATACCAGCCTCTGCTGATTTAGTTTTGTGACCTCTTGTAGTTGACATACCTCATTTGTCCTCAGCCAAAGATTAGGAGCAACCAAATTTTAACCTCTAAATACATTATTCTCAGTTCAATTTAAACTTTTTGATCAAATAATTATTTGACATTGTATATTAAGTAAAGATCTCAAACTCACTTATTCTAAATCACCGGTAATCCAATTGCAAGTAACCTAATTGGATAACTCAAGTAGTTGGACGAATATTGAGACATGATTAAGGCGCTCTCAGGTGGAATAGCCTAATATGCAATAATTTTAGAAATAAAATGGTTTGATTTTCATTATTGATAATAAGTAGTTTAATTTATTTCAAATTTAAAAATTGATACTTTTCTACACAAAGACGGTATGTCGTTTTGGTCTTTTCCTTTTCCCCCGCTCTAGGGTTTTATCAGGGGATAGAGGGAGTAACTAGAGCAACTTGACAATGGAAACCTCAAACATTTTGCTAATACCTCTCTCAACTGATTGAACATGGAAAACCAAGATATCACCTCCGAGAAATTGCCATCACTATTACAGCCCCCGCCCCCTCAACAAGAACCAGACCCTAAAAGGCTGAAAATGTCCACCACCACGACCTCTGATGATGGCGAAGCCACCACAACCAGCACCACCAGAAAACAAAGATACAAGCGCCGTAAAATTGCTATATTCTTCGCATACTGTGGCGTGGGCTATCAAGGCATGCAAAAAAATCCAGGTGCCAAAACGATTGAAGGGGACCTCGAAGAAGCCCTTTTCCACTCCGGTGCTGTCCCCGAACAGGACCGTGGAAACCCCAAGAGATACGACTGGGCCCGCTCGGCTCGGACTGATAAAGGCGTCAGCGCCGTGGGTCAGGTCGTATCGGGCCGATTTTACATCGACCCCCCTGGTCTCGTTGAAAGATTAAATTCAAATCTTCCAGCTCAGATTCGGATTTTTGGGTACAAGCGTGTAACGGCGTCATATAGTGCGAAGAAGTTCTGTGATCGGAGGAGGTATGTATATCTTATTCCTGTTTTTGCTCTAGATCAGTCTTCGCATAGAGATAGAGAGACTGTTTTAGCTAGCTTAGGATCTGGTAATGAGCTTGTTAAGTGTTTTGAGTGTTCGGAGAGAGGCCGCAAGGTAGCGGGTCTTATGGGTAAGCGTACTTATCAGTTGGGCATGCCGTTCAACAATGAAGTTGCTAATTTAAATTCTGAAGTGTCTGGTGGTGATGATAATACAAAAGATGAAACTACGCAGGAAGTTAAAACGAATTGTGAATCCACAGAGGAGGTAAATACAAATTCTAAATCTGAGATGGAAACTCAGGATTGTGTGGACAATGGGACAGTCGATACTAAAGGCTATGTTCAAGAGGATAATAATGATGTCAATGTGGGATCACCGGATGGTTCCAAGGTTGTGGGGGAAGGGCAACTTAATGGAGAGGAGAACTCTCTAACAGAAAGTGGCTTTTGTTATGGTGTGAAGGAAAAGGAGAGGTTCAACAGAATCTTGAAGCATTATGTAGGGTCTCACAACTTTCATAACTTCACCACCCGAACAAAAGCTGAAGACCCTGCTGCTCGTCGCTACATTATTTCGTTTGATGCAAACAACATTGTTAATGTCGAAGGAATGGATTTTGTTAAGTGTGAGGTTGTGGGGCAGAGTTTCATGCTTCATCAGATTCGGAAGATGATTGGGCTTGCTGTTGCAATAATAAGGAATTGTGCTCCAGAGTCACTAATAGAAACTGCTTTACAGAAGTACGTACCTCATTAAATTGTTCAATTATGTTTTGTGTTGAAATCGAGTTGTTTTTTCTCCCTAATCCTAGCAATCTAATAATCTATATCCTAAAATGCTATAGGGATGTCAACATTAATGTACCTACAGCTCCTGAGGTTGGCTTATACTTGGATGAGTGCTTTTTCTCATCATACAACCAAAAGTGGAAAGACAGTCATGAAGAGCTGTCAATGAAAGACTATGAAGAAGAGGCAGAAGACTTCAAGATGAAGCATATATACTCTCATATTGCTTCTACTGAACAAAAGGAAGGAGTTGTTGCTTTATGGTTGCATTCTTTGAATTACCGAAACTATCCTGATTTACGATTCGTCAAGAATGAAGACATCATTGACAAGAAAAATAACAATGAAGAGCCCGTTGACGGGAAAAACAACACTGAAGATCCCATTGACAGTAAAAATAACAGTGAAGACACTATTGACAAGAGAAATGGCAATGAAGCAACCATCGGGAAGAATTCTGAAGTGAACGAGGTGGCTGAATGAATTGTCAATCCAGCAAATGGATAGGCCATTTGATATTTGACTTTTTTGCTCCGGTGGGTCTGTTTATGTTTTGGTTATTTATAAACTTATTTACTTATATAGACTTTTGTTTTTCTTTTTGTGACAAAAGAATGTCAGCTTTATTTCTCATTTGATGCATGATATAAACACGTTGTTAATCTAAACTTAATGAAAGGCCGAGTGAAATAATTCTTCTTGTTATACATTGATTATGTTTTAAGGTCAACATTTTAGATTCTTATCTCAATTGAAATATCATTTCTTGAAGCAAATTGGGTACTTATGATAGCCGACACTGAAACGGTATGCAAATGCAAGGACCCTTGGTGGACTATATTGAGAATTTAATGTAGTTATTGTAGTGCATTCGCTCATGGCCTTATCACGTGTCGGAGAACTTTTATCTAAGAAACTGTAGTCAGAAGCCCATTGGCATTCCGTTCTACTCATAGCCCAATCAAATCCTAACCGTCCACATCAGCCTATCCTGACTTCCATGTAAATATCACTATCTGTGCACTTTTAACATTTCCGCTCAGATTTTCCCTCCCTCTATCCTCTGCACCAAAAAATCAATTAGGCGTTAGTCTTCTCATTGATCAAAAGTGAACAAAAATCGACGAAGATGGAGGTGGATTGGACCCAACTGCCGCCAGAACTGGTGGAAACAATCTCCAAAAAGCTCACAATCTTCAGCGATTACATCTACTTTCGAGCAATCTGTAGCAATTGGCGGTCATTTATTCCAAAAATCCCTAATCACCTCCCTCCTCAGCTCCCTTGGCTCATGCTTCCTCAATCACAGCCCCACCAATCACGTCGCGCCTTCTTCAATCTCTCCACCGCCAAGCTCCACTTCCTCAACCTTCCAGAAGCCTCCCACCGCAAGCGCCACTGTGGCTCCTCTCATGGCTGGCTCGTTATCGTCGATGAAACTCCTGCTGTTCTTCTGGTCAATCCCCTGACACGTGTCAAAATTAATCTCCCTCCGTTAATTACTTTTCCCAACGTGGTTAGTTTTAGTTATTCTGAAATCGGCAGAGAATACACACTTTCGTCTTCTCTGGGTGACCGTTACAAACTTAATTTAAGACAAATGCGTGACGCCTTCATTAAGAAAGTTGTTCTGTCTTCGAGTCCAGCCAAAGATTCTGGTTTTATTGCGGTTGCTATTCTTAATCGAACGGGTGATTTGGCTTATTGTAGAAATGGAGGCCAGCCTTGGACAATAATTGAGGGCGCACAGTCTTATTCTGAAGATGTGATATATAAGAAAGGATTATTTTATGCAGTTGATAAGGGCGGATCAATTGCAGTCTGTGATGTTAGCGGCGAAGTACCTAGGGTTTCAGTTATTCAGATGCCAAGGCAATTTGGAGGTGACATGCAGTATTTGGTTAGTTCAGAAGATGAATTGTTATTAGTTACAAGATATTTAGGTCTTGATTTTGATTTTGAGCTTTATCAGCCACATTTGATCTATAGAACTATAAGGTTTGAGGTTTTCAGGGTAAATTGGAGTGGACCACAGTGGGAAAGAGTGAGAAGCTTGGGTGATAAGGTGTTGTTTATTGGAGAAAATTCTTCTTTGGCTCTGTCAGCATCTGATTTTCCGGGCTGCATTGGAGATTGCATATATTATACCGATGATTACTCAGAGACTAACTATGATGATGTTTATGGAGAACATGATTTGGGAATTTTCAAGTTATGGGATGGAAGCATTGAGCCGTTGCCCTGTTACCCAAGGAATTTACATTATCAGTTACAATGGCCTCCACCGCTTTGGGTTACACCCAATCCCTGCTGATTTGGCTTGAATGTAAGTTCAAATATCTGTGATGATGGCTTGAATGTAAGTTCAAATATCTGTGATGATGGCTTGAATGTAGATTCAAATTTGTTGATTGGTGTGTATTTCAAGATGCAAGCAACTAGTTTCCCTGGTATCAAGCTTGTTATGTTTCGATTAGTTGTGGACTCATTGTCAAGGGTGTATGTTTTTGAAATTTAAACTCTGTTGATACTGCTTCATGTATATACAATTGTGATATATGCAATAATACTGTGCAGACTGTAATCTTGGCGTAATAACACCGGTGAGCACAATCACAAAGTACCTCTTTTTATTGGTTTTTTTGTGTAAACTTTGACATCTTTTTTTTCTTTTCTTTTGTAAAGATTGTGATATGATATTTAATTTGTAGAAGAAATTTTAAGATTATAGCATAATAACTTTTATAGAGGTGATTTGATGCAAAGCTAGATGATGTTATCATATCATACATTGACAACTTCTTTGAGAAGTGAATGCTAGAGGCAAGATTTTGGGATCTCAAGATGCATAAGGCACAAGATACAAATTCAGAAGGCTTAATCCTCCCAAAAAACATGTTTAGAATATTGGCTTCTGTCTGTGTGAGGTGTGTTTTCCCATTGGGCAAAGTAAAATTTCCAGGTAACTAGTTCTTTCTTTCAAGCAAAGGGCTTTTCCTATTCATCAACCAGTAACTACAATACTGGTGCTTATAAGAGGTGTACTTAGTGAAATATGGTTTTGCCTTTTTGGTGTTTGTCCTCTCACTGTTGATTCCATGTTCATTAAATAATCCGTTGATGGAGTATTCTGAACATGTTTATACTTAATTTTTAAAATATTTTAATTAAAGTTCTCATGGAATGGCTTCCCATCCGTGATTGAGCAATGAGCATTAGCTGCATTTTCTTGATTCTTTAATGAATATAACTAGCTGCAACTGCAAGTTTGTCTTCTTCTTGACTTAGGGTATAAGTTCAATATTTTTTAAGGTCAATTTGTACAAGTTTTTAACTTATCTCGGCTTCACGCTTCCATTTGCCAACACGACACTCTATTTACAATGGGAGGGAGATTTCTAAATTCCTACAATGACACACAACCTAACCGGACTTCTGCATCCTTTTTTTGACATATACTATGCAATACACCGCATTGAATACATAGAAACTGGAGAGTCTGCTGAAGGAGCACAGAAAACTCTTGGATAATCACTCTCTAATCCATAGTCAACCATGGGCCGGCACTCCAGCTCCTCCTCCTCATCATACACAAACTCTGGCATCTCAATCTCGTTTCTCCTCACATGCTCCCATAGAAACTCCTGCCTGTTCATATATTTTACCTTCCCATACAACCTGCATTAAAAAGTTCATCTATTAACCTGACAGTTCGATTGAAGTGTGCATTGACACGCTTTAGTTTTTTTGGATGCTAGTGTGTTAGAATTGGTCAAAAGTGCCACAGCATCAAAGACAAAGGCTAAATGGGGCCAAGGAAATATGATTTGAGTGATGTGACTAAGCGTGCTCTAGACACTGAAGAATCTTACCCTCCACTGAAAAGGAGTCGACCAAAAGTGGCAAGGAAGAGTCTGGCCTGTAGACTCGGGTGCACGAAATAAACGGCCTCCAAATCATCCTTAACGTTGATCGGAACAGCATCGTAGATTGATCGTAGGGCCGAGATTCCAGGGAAGTTTTCGCTCCTTTGAACACCTGTGTGCACGTACACCACCGAGAATGGACCTACCTTTAACTTGGGGAAGATCTTTTTTTCCAAATACTTCTTCACTACCTCACTGCTCACAAGCCGAGCTGATAAATCAAACACCCGCAATTCAATCTAATATTTAAGTAACAGTTTAAAAGAAAAAAATAAATAAATAAAACAACAGTGGACGTGCATGATACCAGGGAAGATCTTGCCAATAACGCGAAGAATTTTACGACCACGTTTATCTCTGCCTTGGATCTTGAAGACTTCAAGTTTGTCTAAAAGACGTTCTTGGTCTGGTTGAGAGAGGGTAACGGTAGAAGAAGAGGAGTTCATATTATGAGTAAAGTAAAAGGAAGTTTGTTTCTGTGAAGTTTGAGAGGGAATCTCTTACTAAAAGAGTTTTAAATGCAGCAAAAATATGCGGTGAAGAAGGTGGGTTTATATAGTGGAGAAGGCGGCATGGTGACTTATCCTTCCTGCCCTAAAAGACACCGAGGGTAATATGGTCAGAGGAGTATATTCTCAAGCATCTTCCGTTTTGGATCGGACTGGGTCTGACTCGACTCGGTGACTATCCACTGAGTTGCTGACACGTTACGGGTCCGTTTGATCTTATTATGATCTTATCTTGCTTCCTNAAAAATAAATAAATAAAACAACAGTGGACGTGCATGATACCAGGGAAGATCTTGCCAATAACGCGAAGAATTTTACGACCACGTTTATCTCTGCCTTGGATCTTGAAGACTTCAAGTTTGTCTAAAAGATGTTCTTGGTCTGGCTGAGAGAGGGTAACGGTAGAAGAAGAGGAGTTCATATTATGAGTAAAGTAAAAGGAAGTTTGTTTCTGTGAAGTTTGAGAGGGAATCTATTACGAAAAGAGTTTTAAATGCAGCAAAAATATGCGGTGAAGAAGGTGGGTTTATATAGTGGAGAGGGCGGCATGGTGACTTATCCTTCCTGCCCTAAAAGACGCCGAGGGTAAAATGGTCAGAGGAGTATATTCTCAAGCATCTTCCGTTTTGGATCGGACTGAGTCTGACTCGACTCGGTGGACTATCCACTGAGTTGCTGACACGTTACGGGTCCGTTTGATCTTATTATGATCTTATCTTGCTTCCTTTTCCTCAGCTATCAAGAGCAAGAAAATAAGGACCGACCGGCTAAAATTGTATTAAAAATTTCCACGAAGATCACTTTCATATAAATATTCAATCCATAAGTAAAAATACGTCCCATTATAAAATGAAGTTGAAATTTTCAACCAACTTATCACAACGAAGCTTCCTCCTGTTCTGTACCGAATATAAAACGGCAACGTGTCAAATAAGTTACCCAATTGACAGATATAAAAATTGGCTATTTGTTTCAAAGGATCAAATGGGAGAGCTTCCTAGCTGAGATGTTTCTTGACCAAATGTTGAAGCAACGAAGATTAATTTCAATGAACGGACCAGAAAAATCGAATAATTTGATCAATCTAATTGTGAGGCTGGGTGTTTTCAGAACTGTACCTGGATGGTTGGATCAATATCAATAGTATGGTGAACGCGGGCCACATTATTGAAAGCTACGTCAGTGCCTCAGTCGTGTTTGGGCTCAATTGAGAGGATAGGGCTGGCCGGTTGGGCCACAACTTAATTAATAATATCCTAAAGACAAATATATTAAATGTACACACACTGCACCGGTGGTGAACTGAAAGTTTCTATTTTGTAAATCATAAATATACGTATGAATAGTGCATTATTTGATAGGTTTGATGTGAAAGATACCCGTAACATTAAATCAAACTATCAAAGGAAGATTTATTAAATTTGAGTAATTGGCATGCAATTATGCGAAGCTCAAATTAAGCTATTTTGTCAGTGGACATCTCCACATTTGACCTCACACTAGAAGAGTTGTTTTAAGGTTTATTGTCTGACACCCAAGATTTAAACATGTGATCATAACGGTGAGATACTATATTAATTATCTACAGGAATTAGTTGAGGTATATACATGAGAATTAGTCGAGATAGAAACATACTAACTTGAACAAGATTGGAAATCTTAAAAACTGAGACAAATTATAATCAAACGATAAAGGGTTTGCAAGCATGCTACTCAGAGAGTTGATATATTAAAAACTTTTGACATCGTACAAAAATGGTTTGATTTGGGTGCAGGGAAAGACACAGTGTGCCTCAGATATAAAATAAGGCCATACTCTATATCACATGTGACTTATGAAGCATTATCTCGAATAAAAGAAGTGCAAACAAGAATGCCAATTGGGCTCAATGAGAGCAAGTTGATGCTTTCATGGGTTTATCGACAAGATCTTCTGCGTCAGCCCAAAGCGGAGTCTCCTCTTAGAATTAAGTTCAGCCTGTCCTGGTTCGTTAAATCGAGTTGAAGAGTTGCAGGAGAGACAAATATGCCACTGGACATTGGTTTCGAAGACCCGACTGATTTAACTTTTAATAAACATCATGCTGATCATTTTATGTTTCCTCCTAGAACTCAAGGGCTCTGTTTGAGATCATCTATTTATGCTATATCAACGGCCAAGAAGACAAATAAGCTATGAATTTCACCCCCCTCGAGGATATGATGCAGAGGGTCACCAGTAATCTCCACAAGAACATAAACCATTGGCAAAATGGTGAAACCGCTTTGAATCTCGGATTATGATAGTTCGCTTCTCGATCAAGGATACAAATTTGGCCATGCTGTGACAATCACCACATATTCGCAAGTTTTTTGTGATAATTAATGGCATGCTAACCTCAGTAACTAAAAGGCCAAATGCAATGGCTAACTTTTCACTGTGTTTATTGATCATGTGCTCTTTCACTTCCTCCTCAACATCATGTAGGACATATTCTGTTTTAGAAGCAAAACCAGCTACTCGAATCTTCCCAATCAGTTCTTCCAACTTCTTATAGATTTTTTCTGACTCTAAATGAGATTGATCACCCACTACAAAACGATGAATCACATTTCCATGTTCAATAAAACTGCATCCAGGGATCCTGGTGAGACCTCTCTCCTTCATTAGCGCCCTGACTCTTGCAGCTTCCTTCCACAAACCAGCTGCAGAGTATATATTTGACAGCATGATATAGTTTCTAGAATCAGATGGATCTAAAGCAAATAATCGATCAGCAGCTTCCTTACCAAGTTCAATATTACCATAAACCCTACAAGCACCAAGAAGAGCCCCCCAAACACCAGAATTTGGCTCCATCGGCATGCCTTTAATCAGATCATAAGCATCACTTAAAAGTCCAGAGCGACCCAGAAGATCAACCATGCATGAATAGTGATCCAACCTAGGCTCTATCCCATACACTTCAGACATATCCTTAAAATAATCCTTCCCCTCATTGACAAGCCCTGAATGACCACAAGCACTTAACAAATGAGTGAAGGTAACATGATCAGGCACCACATCTTTCTTCACCATGAGCTCAAAGAACTCGATAGCTTCTCTTCCACGACCATGCACAGCATAGGCTGCAAGCATAGCAGTCCAAGCAACTTTATCCAGATTGATCATTTCCCTAAAAACCTCACGCGAAGCAGACAATCTCCCTAACTTTGAATACAAACTTAAAAGGGCAGTTGAAATTGTTACGTTTGCAATTAGACCACATCTCAACATAAAACCATGAACCATATCAGCTAATTTCCCTATACCTAAATCTTCATAACCTTGAAGTAATGCCAACATGGTGGCCTGATCAGGCTTAATTTCAGCCCTTCTCATTAAATTAAAAAGTCTCATCCCTTCTTTTGCAAATCCATTCTGCATATAGACTGCAATAATTGAATTCCAAGACACTAAGCTTTGCCCTGATATTGCCTCAAACAATCCACAAGCCTCATTTACAAATCCACACTTTCCGTACAAGTTAATAAGAGCATTTACGACTTTTGGTTCACATAGCATACCCAATTTCAACGCAATCCCGTGAATGTATTTACCTTCATCGAGAACTCTCATGTCAGTACAAGCTGAGATTATAGATAAAAGCGTGAAATCATTCGGCTGCATAACCTGTTCAAATTTCATCCTATTAAATGCAATCAAGCATCTAAAAACATGCCCATTTCGTGAATATCCTGAAATTAAAGAATTCCAGGAGGCCAAATCCTTATCTGGCATTTCATCAAACAGCTTCTCTGCTTCTTCTTCACAACCTAGTTTGAAATAACATGACACCAGTTGATCACCAATGAACCCTTCTCTATAATTTAAAGATTTGATTATACGCGCATGAATTGCACGGCTAGAAAAGACAGAAGAGCAAGAGGTTATAGCAGCAATAAAAGTAGAGACAAGTGAGTCCAAATTTGAGTAAGTATGAAACGGGAGAAAAGATTGAGAGAGTTGGACATTGCAAATTAAGAATCTGAACTTGAATACCCTTAATGCAAGTGACGAACAAGAAGTAACCTTTATCATCTCCCATCATTCAATTTCTAAGATTCATCGAGACAAAAATAAAACCATCAGCTCACATGAAATGAAGAATACGTGTTTCAAGTCCCACATCGCACAGGTATAAGTTACTGTACTGTCAACAAGCTACATATAAACATACAGATGATAGTGTTAAATTCATCTTTGCGCTTGGGGCAATGACGCAGCTAGTGAGGTTCTAACCGAGGCGCGTCAATTGCTGGTTGAAAACTATTTCCAAACCCCCTCAAAGGCCAGGGTTAAGCCCTGGCCTTTGAGAATTTCTGGAAGGGCTCCCTCCGGGGTAAAGCCCTACAAATCTTAAGTCTTAAATTTGTATATCTTTCACATGCCCGTGAGCCCTTACTTTGATAATTAGCAGGCCCATGGGCCCTTACCATGAAGATTAGCAAGATAAATGAACCTTTACTACATTGAATTGCAGGCCGACTAGCTGTCTTGGAATGAAGAATTATGTGCCCGTTTTGAAACGTAAAGCTGCCGACCAATGAATGACTATTGAATCAGAAGGGAAAATAATTAATTAAAGGAAAAGCTTACCAATCACTATGGATAAGCATTGATTTCAGTTGTTGAAGATCATTAAATAACTGAAATTAATATTTAATCCTTAAGATAGTATAAGGGCAGGTTTCCCTTGAGTAATATAATATTAAACTTTTACCTAAGGAGTTTGTCTTTTATAACTAATATTACTTTAACAGTATTTTTTCACAATTTTTTTTTCACAACACAATAATTCGTCATAATAAATATCACACAAGTTTTACATGAGTCTCATTAATTAAATTGTAAGTTAATAAATTATAAACCGTCGAGAAAATTTGTGAAAAAACATCGCTAGTATACTGTTACCAACATATATAGTCGGCTACTCTGCTGTATAAATAATCTATAATTTTCTTGTGCCACCCAGTCAAGCTCAGGTATGAAAGGCTGAGACATGTTTCAAAAACTTTCAACTGATATAAAGATGATCCTGAGAAGCATTTGACCAAGTATCGAAAACTAGCGAGCTTTTCCTTACAAATTCACGAATGAGATATACCTATCCTAATAACAATCACAGGTTTACTCGAGTGCCCTATAGAGGATAGACCAATCCCCAAAAAGAGTTTTGCAGAGATCTTACAACAGGTGTACGCTAAGATATGTTTCAGAACAAGTAACCCAAGTGCATGTCAACATTTGGATTTTGGAGAGAGACTCAGAGGGAGGGAAGAGAAGAAGCAAATCAAAGCAGCTTACATTGTTCTGCAAATATGTCAGGCTTCGAATGACACGAGAGAGGGAAAGAGAAAGAGAAAGAGGCGACTGGGGCGGTTGTGTGTAATAATGAACATAGTCTGTGAAAATTAAATTAGCATCAACTAGCTTAGGACTTTGGCCATTCAAAATGACACAACTAGAAAAATCCAATTTTGTATAACCGTCACCCTCCCACGCGTCTAGCTCTTTGCTTTAATATTATCTTTGCTCTGACTTATTTCACTTTAATTACAATCTTTTATCTCAAATCATTTCTTCTTTACCATTATTATCCTCGTTTTTCTCTTCCCACCTGTTCTTTGTCTTTTCTTCACTTTTCCGGCGAAGTCGCCGGAAATACAATGTCGTCACCGGCTAAAATCAATGCTCGGAGTGCCGTAGAAAATAAGCAATATCCTGCGCCAATCGCTACCCACGAGATCCTTATTCAAGACTCCACAGTTTTTTGGGACAGTCTCAGGCGCTTCCATTTTCTAATGGGCACCAAGTTCATGTAAGCCTTCTCTCAGTTAATTTTTTTTCCACTTCACAACTCTCTAAGTTTTTCTTCTTCTTCTTGCTTCTTTTTTTATTTTAATAATGATTTTCGCATAGAATAATAAACTGCTCAGAATGTGACGTTCGTGGNAAATCATTTCTTCTTTACCATTATTATCCTCGTTTTTGTCTTCCCACCTGTTCTTTGTCTTTTCTTCACTTTTCCGGCGAAGTCGCCGGAAATACAATGTCGTCACCGGCTAAAATCAATGCTCGGAGTGCCGTAGAAAATAAGCAATATCCTGCACCAATCGCTACCCACGAGATCCTTATTCAAGACTCCACAGTTTTTTGGGACAGTCTCAGGCGCTTCCATTTTCTAATGGGCACCAAGTTCATGTAAGCCTTCTCTCAGTTAATTTTTTTTTTCCACTTCACAACTCTCTAAGTTTTTCTTCTTCTTCTGCTTCTTTTTTTATTTTAATAATGATTTTCGCATAGAATAATAAACTGCTCAGAATGTGACGTTCGTGGAAGTTATAATATCATTTTAAAGTTGGGTTTTTAACTAGGGTGTTTGAATCTTCTGACCTTTGCATGTTGAAGGATTCCTGTGATTGGAAGAAAGGAGCTAGATTTGCATATTCTGTATGTGGAAGTTACTCAGAGGGGTGGTTATGAAAAGGTTTCTCTCTATAATCCCTTTATATACTTTCACAATTTAAGACTTTCAAGTGTATTATTTTTTTATTTACGAAAATAAAATGCTGTACAGGTTGTTGCAGAGAAGAAATGGAGGGAAGTAGGTGCTGTATTTATGTTCTCTCCAACTACAACAAGTGCTTCATTTGTGTTAAGAAAACACTACTTCAGTCTTCTTTACCACTATGAACAAGTTCACTTCTTTAAGATGCAGGGTCCTCTGAGTATACCCTCAGGTAGTTGATTGTTTTCTGATCCATGTTGAGTTTTCTCTAATCTAGCCGTATTTATGGGTAACTGTCATGTTTTCCTTGTCGTTTTATTACCTATATTTAATCTGATCACCGTCTGCTTTTTATGATTTCAATTTGGTCTGTTTGTGGGTCTAATTTTGTTACTTTGCAGCTGCATTTTCTGTTACCAGCCCTTCCAGACCTGACCTGGCTCTAGTGGAATATTCCCCAACTATTAACGATTATCCGGATTCACATATTGATGGTAAGTTTGTATAGTCTGTGAAAGAAGAAGATAAAGTATCAATTACCCACCACAGAAGGCTTAGCTTTATTTTCTATATCCTAAATTTTGGCCTTAGTTTTATTATGTTATTAATGAGCCTATTTGATAGCAGTTCAATTTCAGTTAGATATGTTGTGCCTGTTGATTTATGTGTCTTTTTTATTTTCCCTTTCCATTGCGGACCCACTACGCATTTATCTTTAATTTTAGATATGTGGCTATATGCTTGTTGACGTTGTCTATATTTGATTCAAACTTATCTAACAACTGAACATCATTTAGAAATGAAATCTTTCACCTTACTGCTGGAATTTGATAAATTTATGTGTAGAAGATTATGACATCTTTTTTTCCTTGACGACAGCTTGTAAATCAAAAGTAAGTAATCCCTCTTACTGCCAATCTACCATGAAAATCCAACAGTCTTTAATAAGTATAGAATTTTTGCCATGAATTCTTAACAGTGAACTCTTGCTTGAGTTCATTGATTCATTAACCTTTGTGATGACCTTCTGGTAACAGTTTAACTGAATCGTACTGTCATCATCACAACCTTCTGTGCAGGCTCTTCTTGTTTCACGGCAATTGGAACAATTGATGGAAAATTTGATTGTGGTTATTTGGTGTCTGTGAAATTGGGTTCAGAGACTCTTAGTGGTGTGCTTTATCATCCAGAACAGCCAGGTCCTTCCACTTCGGTTCCCCAATCTAATGGTGGTGCTATAGTACCATACTTAAGAAACCGCAAACCTCGCCATTCTGGTCGTCGGAAGAGAAGCAGAAGAAGGGGAGACCCCAGCTATCCGAAACCCAACAGAAGTGGTTATAACTTCTTCTTTGCTGAAAAACATTATAAGCTCAAATCTCTCTACCCTAATAGAGAACGGGAGTTCACAAAAATGATTGGCCACTCCTGGAACAATCTCAGTGCTGAAGAGAGGAAGGTAACTGCAAATAAAGGAGAAGTTTTTTTTTTAAGTATTTTCCCCGCAAATGAAATGAATTGAAAACTTGCATTTCTAGGTGCAGCTTAAAACCAGTGTTATTCCTGCACTAATTGGAATCAGCTGACTCTTTTCTCCATCTCTTTTAATTGGTGGTTGACATGAAGTTAATTATTTTATAGGTTTACCAGAACATCGGATTAAAAGACAAGGAAAGATACAACAGAGAATTAAAAGAGTACAAGGAGAGACTGAAGCTCCGGCAGACTGCAGAAGTTAACGAGTGATTAGTAGAGCTCATGAATAGGAAGATAAAAAATAGCCAGAAAATTTGGTGCCCATCTCTTATGCATTAGAAACCTATATGCAAATATAAACTGTTATTTAGGACTTGGATCCTATAATACATACATGCATTCAGCTGAAACTGTTTCTCGGAATCCTGGTTAAATTGATGTTACTCTTCTACCTTATATCCGTCTTTAAATTAACTGTCGCTTTGATGAATACAAGTGATTAATTGCTGTATTTAACAAAGGTGAAATATGCCTCTGAAATAAACGAGGCCACCTAAGGCTAAGAGCTGCTGCTGCATTAGTGATTTTTAACCTGATAATTGGTGAGAGGATTAATTATGTAGCAACCAGTCAACCACCAAGCAGCCATTATACTTTGTCAGTTTTCAATATTTAACATGTTAGCTACCACTTAACGGTGAAATTCACGAGTCCCACTTGACAAACAGTGAAATCAATTATAATGGACGGTTAAGAAGACACGAAGCAGTCCTTTCTACCACTCAAAATTTATGATGGCTGTTTAAAGTTTAAAACTTCAATTTTTGTAAAAGAGTTCGTTGAATTACTTCTGTTCTGTCCCTAAGAAAACACTGTAATCTACTGTACCAACCACCAACTCTTCTGAAAAATTTATTCCGTTGCTCAGTTGTTTACCTGATCTTAAAAGCTTGAACGTAGAAAAAGCAGTGGGTTATCACTTATCACACTGTAACAGGGTCGTTTCAGCTTTGACAATAAGAAAGATAGTTTCTATAAACAATGGACCAAAAAGGCAAGAAATTTGGCATGTTTTGTCTATGGGAAAAAGATCTCCAAGTAATGAGTAGTACAACAAATCAGATTATTCAGGCACGCTTGTTAAGACCATGAAAGAAACGGTGTTTTCTCCTCTTTGAATGCTTCCCAGAAGCTTTTGACATGACATAGGCTACAAACTGGACCTGCAAAGAGCAGCAAATGTCAATATAAGAAAGCAAAAACACAGCAACTATAAATAAACACTTCTTAAATGTTGTAAAGAACCTGAGAATTGTTACGTATGCCAAAATCCTCAAGTGCAGAGTTCTCATCGAGTAGCTTCTGATTTTGGTGAGATAAGCAATAATTTTTCCAGACGTGCTTCCTGTAAACAAAACCATCATAATTGATTAACTTGCTTGATTGGATGATGGTGACAAGCAACAATTCTAAACATATTATTTCACCCTTAATCAGTTGCGAAGGAAGGAGCAATAAACGTACCACGAAATGTGGCGATGACCCATTTTGGACTGCTCCATTTCGTTCACTTTTTTCTTAATTGCAAGTTTCAATTCTTTCACTGTAGCCGAATTCATCAGCGCCACGTCTCCAAACGTAACCATAAAACCAACCAATTAAGATCAAATTATGTTACAAAGCAAACGAATGATGCATTTACAGTGTTTGTTAAAACGTCAAGCTGAAAACTTTAAAGCGGGTGGGAGTGGGACAAGTACCAAAGGAAGTGCCATCCAATTTGAGAACGGAGATGCGCATAGCGCTGCCCAATTCGAGGCTGATAAGGGTGTCCACGTCGGATAATGTTGGTTTCTTAGGAACATCGGCAAGTACGGGATCATCAAGAAGAGCAGCTAATGTTGAATTCAATCTAGCCTTCTTCATATTGTTGCTGTTATAACCTCCCAACTCTTCATCTTTTGCATCAGATTCCATCATCAACAATTTCTGTCTCTGCTCCTCTTTACCGCCTTATGAGTATACCCAACAAATTTACAAGCAGAAACTTTGGTTTTTGTTGGTAATAGACGGAAAAACGTGCTCATTTATAGACACAGTCGAGTTTGAATCGGCTTTCCTAAGTTCAACTCGGCCCATTCTCCCCGTGGGCCTTGCATTTATACTTAAAGATAAAGGGTATCTATATTATAATCATTCAACAAAGCGGATGCTCAAAATTTTCAATCTTGACAAGTACAAATCACAGAGAGCTGCCCAATTGGTTTGTTTTCGTTTTCAACAAGAAAGCATAATCCAATGAAATTATTGATCGATTGAAATCCACAGGTAGAAACTTATATGCCGTAATGAAATTTAATGAGTTCATCAAACACATAAGAGAAGAGACCCTCTTATTGTAGCAAGAACTTAAACAAGACAAATTACAAAAAATAAATAAACAAGTAGAGATCAACAACAACAACCAAATTCAAGTACTCTTCTGCATTTCAACCACCTTCTTCCAGGATTCTCTACTGGAAATCTCACCCCACCATCTCCCCACGTTCTCTCTAGAAGTGAAGAGCTCTCCTCGATCAGTGGCATTCACTAAGTACTGGGTGTTAGGCAAGTGTGAAAGATCGGCCAAAGAAAATTCATCACCCGCCAAGAACTGAGTCTCGCCCAGCCTTTTTTCGTAAACATCAAGAACTTTTGCCAACTTCGCTTCGCTTTGTTTGATCAGACCCTCATCTTGCTTGAGCTTCATTCGAGGCGCAAATGCTAGTTGAAACACTAGAGCAGAACTAGGTGGGTTAAAGCTTTGCCCTTCAGCTTCCAACCACTGATCTATGGATGCTTTTGCCAATGGGTTTGTCCCGTACAATCCCTTATTACCCTTTTCTTTGTATTTCTCACATACATAACGACAAATTGCTCGAGACTCTGGTCTCACATAAACGAACACAATTCCATAAATTAAGAATACCAAATGGAAAACAAGGAAAACAAGGAATCTGATTAACTGAAATAAATAAAAATGGATAAAAGTTACCAAAGAGTGAGATGTTCTCATCTTGAAAAGCTGGTACTTGACCAAAGGGCTGTCACATTCGAAGTGAGAAACAAAAATACTGCATTTGAAAATAAAAAAGGAAATTCGTTTGAGGGAGTACGTACCTGGATCTTGATAAAATCGGCCTTCTTGTGTTCGCCTTTGGCCAGGTTAATTGAAATGAGCTGAAAATCCACATCTTTCTCCAGTAGACAGGCCAGGACTCGAGACACGGCAGTGGAAAGTGGCGGACCGTATACTTTTACTGGAGTTGCCATTGGATTTAGAAATTGTGATAGTTTAGTTAGAGAGAGTCCTGCTTCTTTCTTTTTACATGGCTTCCATGTGTCTTCTTGTTTTGTTTTCAACCATACAGAACCTTGAACTTGTCCCTGCCACTTTATCCCTTACTTAAAGCAAGTAGTTGCACATGGGCAAAAGAGTAAAAGCAAACCCAACTGTTGGGACCAAAATCACCAGGGGCTTCAGGCTTCAACGTAACCTGTATTACAAATACTGGTTAGCCCAAATTGAAATGGGCCTTTATTATCTATCCAGTTTTGATGTTATGATTAAGTGGACAAGCCTCAACAAGCTAAAAGGCTGCTAATCCAATTCGGCGTTTCAGAATGCAAATTTTCTCTCGGTTTTGAATGTTCTCGGTAGGTGTTACTATGAAAATGCCTTTAATATGAGATTTGAGTTAAGGTTACAGTTGCATACAAAGACTCAATAATAAACAAGATAATGAGAGTTGTTATAGTAGTTCGGATGCTCAAAACAATTCTTACAATTATTGTTTTCTTTTATATGAGTATTCTTGATGATTAACCAAGTTACAAGAGGTCGCGAATTGCGAACGGAATTACATAAGCTTGGTATTTGGAGAAAATATTAAGCTAGTCACTTTTTCGTGGGTTTGTCTTTGTAATTTGTTTTGTTCAAGTCAGCAATCCTTATTTTGTGAGGAGGAGTCCTCTATTTATAGCTGCTGAATTCAAGGTAATGATTACAAGTCTACAAGTGGGTAGGTGCCGTACATGTCATTCCTTGCATCTCATTGGCTAATAACTTAGGAAATATCCTTAAATTATATGGGGTTTAGATAGGTGTGTAAACCACATTCATTCATAGACAAAACTTGAGCCTGCTGAGTTGGTGACAACCGTATTCTCTCTGTTTTGGAGCGACGTGGTAGATTCTGGGTGGCGTAAAGTCTTCCTAAATTTTTATTGGTATTCATTAATGTAAGCTTATGTCAACCTTGATTTTTTAGACATAACAGTTTTGAATGGTTTTGATTGAGAGCTAACTATCAAAGTTGCATTAATTATGCACCAATAGTTTCAGAAATTGCTCATACAGATGCAGAGTAGCTTGTTTTTATTTCATAAACTGTGGTACACGGACACACTCACATATTTGACATTTGTCCCCATCACCTCCTTGATCTAGGAAACTACAAATTAGAAACCTACCTTTTTTTTTTTTTTTTTTTTGGTTGAAGAAGCTACGATAACAAGTTTGCTGTTTATTAAGGCCACAATTGAAGGGTTTGCAGACTCCATGACGACACTGCCTTCTTTGATGTCACGTCATCACTGTAAGGATTATATAATTGGCCATGTAAAAAGATTTAAATACCATTGGCACAAGCAGTCCAATTTGAAGGAAGCCTATTTGATGTCAAATTTGGCATATTGCGGACATTCACATCAAGTGGTAGCATACGATATTCAATACCAAGATCTTTAAAGGCTCTGATCATTTCTTCAATCAGCTGTGCTCTCCTTGTTACTCTCTCTCCTGGGTTCTGAAAGTTCAATCTGTGTTGCACCCACATT